GAAATCTTAATTAAAAAACTAATAGAAAAAAGGTAACATATTATAATGGAATAAAAAATTAATAAATATCCCCACAGGGATCTATTTTCGGGGTCTCAACTTTTTATTGTGTACATAAATGATATAAAGGCTGCTCTGCCAAACAATAAGATGGTCTTATACGCAGATGACACAACTTTCATAAATGTACAACGCAACATAAAATACTTGGGAACCTGCATTAATGCCTCTGTCTCCAGCATTTTCAATAAATCCAAAACAATAAACATGATATTCTGTTTAAGAAAATATAATAAAGAGGTTTATCCTAAAAATGTCAAATTTTTGGGAATACAGCTAGATCCAACACTGCAGTTTGAAAATCATATTAACGAGACATCAGGCAAATTTAGTAGGACAATCTTTGTGTTAAAAACTTGGTTAATGTTGTAGATAAAAATGTTTTCATTGTGACCTAATTGTTTTAGTAAAAGTATTAAGTTTAGGTTTTAGTTAGGGCCTATCACGCACTGTTTCAAAGTGTTTGCGTACATGCCTTTTCCATACGACTCATTTCAAATCTTAAGTTTAGGGATGATGAAAAGCTACAATTTAGTAGTTTAAACATAATGACTGGGCATATGAATGTATCTTGTTTGCAAACAATAACTTACTATCAAACAGGGTGTTCCTAAATAACCTTAATATATTTCGGGGTGGGGGGGTGATTCTAAATTATTATTAAAAATAAAAAAAAGTTGCTATAAACAAATGTCCTGTTTCGCAAAATCAGGTTTTTATTAATTATTTTAGAAACGCTTAGTGCGAAAATATTTATGTTTTATTTCTAGGTTATTTTTGGGCAAGAAATTATCTGATGGTGTCAAATCGGATAAATGATGACCATATGCGTGCGAAACCGGGGCTACTCGGGAAAAAATCCTCATAATTTTTTTGTGGGATTTTGAATTCTCGATCTTGGAGTACAATTCTCTAGAAAAGTTTACAAAAAGTCGGTTAGTTTCTGAACTTGATTTTGCGAAACAGTTTAAAATGCCCACCGAAGGCATTTTCGGACATTGCAAATTTTTCTTTTATTTGTAAGTGCAAAATCGCCCCCTAAATATATTAACGTTATTTCCGGAAACCCTTTATAATTCTGGAATAAATACCCATACCCACATTACAAGGGGTAAAACAGATTCTTTTAGACTCAAAATCCAAAAGCTACAATAAATTAATCGCAAGCCTTTTATAATGAACTTCCTGAACAAGTCAGGCAATTAAATAAAAATGCATTTAAATGTTTTAAAAAAAAAATGCCTAAATTCTGTGATATAATGTTACCTACATTTATAAATTCACCCGGTCTGTTTTTTTATACACTTTCGAATCCAAAATTGGTATGATTGTTTATTTGTCCCATTGTAAATTAAGTCCTCTGAAGGGGACTTTAAGCCCGCGGTCCGTTAAAAGCCCTAACCCGCCCAAGCCATTCACTTGGCTTCTCTGACTTCATAGGGTTAGGGTGGAATTAAAAGAGCACTTTTCTATATAACTTTTTGTATGTTATTTACCGACTGGTGAAAATGTTTCTTTGTAAACATAATATGACTAATAAAGATTATTATTATTACTTTAACAAAATAACTTATAGGTTTTTTACCTTTTAGGCATTTTATAAAACTTATTTATATTATTAGTATTTAGTTATTTAATTTTAGGAAAAAAACATACAAATCTACACTCACTTATGGCCACTTGCACCGTTTTCTCCAACTGATCAGTTAAATAAACTGCTAAGTTAAAAGGTAACAGGAGATTAGTGTCCAAAATCTTGCACGGTGATTTTTTCACTATGGTTTAAAATTTAACTAGTGATCTAGGAAATTTGACTAAAAAATGGTGCTAATAGGGCTAAAACAATTAGAGCAGGAAATTAACAATAAAAATAATGAAAAAGAAATGACTCTTTCGGATATAAAAATTTTAGAAGAAAAAGAAAAACTTAATATATTATAATAATAAACAAGAAGTGACTATATATTTTATTTTAGTTTTTAATAAGTATAAATTAAATACAACATCAAAAATATTATTCACATTAAGTTTTATAAATTCGCAAAATAATCTTGTATTAATTGATTTTAAAACATAATGCGATCTTGTGGATGAGTTACAACAGGGTACTTCAGTTCATGGCATTAATATCAGAAGGCAATGGCGGCTCTGGTTTATTCAGTCTCTAGAAATATTATGTACTCTAAAAATGAATTAGTCTAAAATTACTAATTTAATAGTTATAAGTGGCTGCTTTTTCACTTATACTATGGTTAACCATGGTATCACAAAATTTAACAGCCAATTCTTATGTAAAATTGTCCCCTGAATCCCAAAATACCGTAAAAAATTATGAAAGTGGAGCAGTTTTTGAGATATAGTCAATTCCATATTAAATGGAAAATTGACTATATCTCAAAAATTGTTCTACTTTTTTTAACTTTTGATGACAATTTTACATAAGATAGCCACTAATAACTAAGGCCCGGATTTTTAGGTCATAAAAAAGTAACAAAAGGTTCCTAAATTAGGTGATATTTTTAATAAAATAGGTTATTATTTTAGGTACCTATATTTTAGGTACTTAATTAAAAAGTTAATATTGGTTGGCGCGTATTTTTAGGTTATAAAAAAGTAAAAAAAAAATGCAAAAAATAGGTCACATAGTTATAAATTTAGGTTATTATTTTTTAATTTTTTTTTTGATATATTTTTTATATTTAATTTATGTTACAATGTAAAAACTTATATTCTGGAAGGGTACAACATAATACGAATACGATGTCCCATAGCTTTAGCAGGTAAGTTTCTCTTGAAGACTGCTCTGACTGAGCCACTGGTGCCATGTGGTCTTGTCACTTTGCCCCAGATGGCACGTACCTTGGATTTAACTGTTTTTGGTTTTCCAGGCACACAAGTCCTGTTTTTGGCTTTGTATACGTATACACAACGTTTGCCAACATAGAACCAACTTTCTGGTTTGTTTGTGGTGCCTTCTACTTTCAAAAGAGCAGTGTTTTCATTCTGGTTACGGAGTCCACGTTTATAACCTGTAAAGATAGCTTTGGCATATAACCTGCCGTGCCTTTTTACGGGCCTTCTGGAGGCTTTTTTCTCGCCGCCTTCTTTAACGGAAACCTTCTTTTCGGCCTTTTGTTTCTTCGCGGCGTCAGCCATGTCGGACTCTGTTTTAGTTAAAAAAAAGGGTACTTAAATAAAAAAATATAATAAGCTGATTTATTGAAATAAAATGTTTTCATTATAATGTCGACATCGTTGTAAAACCATACATAGGTCTTATGTAGTTTTAGTTACATTATAATTGCTCTGTTAATGTCCGGCAATAAAGGATTTAAATTAAAAATGAAATAGTTATTAAAATAATATTTATTATTAACATTAACTGAACAAAAATGTTTGGTTGGAATGAAATAAAATAAAAGATTCTTTAAAAAATAAATATATCATATCAAAAATAATTTAAAATAGCAAAAAAACATAATAGGAACTCTAAAATTACAAAAAAACAAAATAGGAACTCTAAAATCAAAAAAAATAAATTTTATTAATTTATTTAACGATTATATGCATGACAGACAAAATATTTCTCCAAGTTTTCAGAAGTAAAGCTAGTGCGCTTATCAGTCAAAACATTTTTAAACCAAGAGAATGATCGTTCAACGTCACAGGACGGGTAAAAAAAGTTCATTTTAGGTATTAAAAATACAATTTAGGTGCAAAAAAGGAAAATAGGTGAAAACAATATAAAAAAGGTATTTTAGGTCAAATAAAACTTAGTCAGATGACTACATTTTTTATAAAACGGGCAAATACAAAAAAATATCCTTAAAACCTAAAAAACAAACAAAAGGTGTTTTACCTAAAATCCGGGCCTTACTAATAACTATTAAATTATTCATTTTTGACTAATTCATTTTTATAGAGTAGTACAGCTGCAGCTGGAGTAATGGACAAAGCTGTATCTAGTTTTAATCTTAAGCCATATGCCAACACTGGAAACCTCCTTTTCCAAATTCCAAATACTCTTTCTATTATATTTCCGGTTCTTAGTAGTGACTCATTATACAGTTGCTGACGTGTATACAGTCCGTTCAGGCTAAGTTGAGCGGTTTGGTGGGGGATCATGTGGCCGTTGATTAAATTAAATATCGGATCGTCGCGAGATTTCGGTAACAAGAAGATGATTTATCATTGCCGCGGCTTGCCGTTTGTTAGTACAGAGCGGCTACCGAATGTACATGTATTTAATTTTGCCTGAACATAGAGATGATGGACGGGTGACATTCCTTAGACCGCTCAACTTAGCCTGAACGGACAGTACCTATAACTATAGTTATTGGATTTGCTAAAGATGTCAATAAATAATAACTTTGAAAAAAATATCTTGAATACCGATGACAAGTACTTTTGAGGTTATAAATCGTTAACGGTGGACCCCCGAAATTGGGGGTTTATTTTAACAGTAATTTAGAGGTATTATTAAACAAGGATTAATTTACGATGCAAGCCAGTTATGTAAAATAAACCTGTGTTAAAAATTAAACCACTGTTAAACTTACGGTGCAAGTGGCCATAAATCAGCTAATTGTATGTGTAACATGACAAACAAGATTTATTACTATTATTAGTAAATATTTAAAATTTGATTTAAATTAATTACCAAAATATTTATATGGACATTTAAAAACAATTATTCAATTATTTAATAACACATACATTAATTACATGAAATAAATATATACTTATTAATTTCCGATAAAATTGTTTCCTTTTTTTAAGAAGGATAACGAATAACACAATAAAAATAACAAACCCGCAAGCCTTTACTTGTTTACCAAGTTGTTCACTTGGTATTTTGATTTGGCTGCTTTTGTATTGTTTTATGTGTACTCACGGACGTAGGGGGTGGGTAAATAGAACGTGAAAGTTTCATTTCTTACCGGACATGTTAAGCCTGAGCTCTCCCTCGAGATACTCGCCGACCCTTATCCACTGATACTTTCCGGTTTGGGTTTGTTTGAAGTGGATGATGTTGTAGCGAGCCGGTCCGTCTCCGTTGCCGTCGAAATGAAACCGATCGCCGCTCAGACCTTAAACAAAACAACAGCGTTTAACACTTAAGAGTATTAATTTTTCTACGCCTCCCTTTAAATACACCTGTGCGTTTTAGTCACAGGTTAAGAAGGCAGCAGCAGTGGCTTTAGGGCTACTTGCCACAGGCAAAAATGACAGTATCTGTCAACTAACTTAAAGCTTACTTCAGACCGTAAATCTTTAAAAAGTAAGATTAGAACTTGGAACTTTATTTTTAAAAAATTTAATTATTTATTGATTTTGTGTTCGTTGTAAAAAAAGTGCAGTAAGCAATTTGTTTTATAAACTTCTGTAGGCACTCCCTTATTAAAACTTTACTAAAATGCTGTTTATCAAAGCTTGTTGCAATATATACAGTTTGGTTCTCAATTATGAAATAAAATTCGTTATTTGATGAAAAATATGAAAAACGCTCGGGACCGTAAACTTTAGTTTGTTATTTAAAATTTTATAATTTTAATTTTAAATTTTGTGCCCATACAATTTCCCTTCACCACATTATGCACATTTATCTTAAATAACAACTTCACTTTTTAATCAAAAAAATTAGTGGGGTTTAGTAAACATAGTTTTCAAGACAGGGTGGAAATGTAATGACAAATCAAAAAACTAAATTTTTAATTATTTAACTGTTCTTTAATCTTATAAATGTTCAAAATGTCCCCTGTTCATTTCAAGACACTTAAGTTATCTACTGTGAAATTGTTCCTGCACTCTGTTTAAAACCTCCGGTATTTTGTTCCTAATTTCTGGACTTATTTTGTTTCTTAATTCATCTGTGTTTAAAACCCTGTTTTTTAGATGTCCCCATAGAAAAAAGTCTGGAGGTGTTAGCTCTGGTGAACTTGTCATTTTATGAAACCTCTTCTTCTGATCCCTCTGTGGGGAAAGGTGTCATTTAAATAATTCCGTACAGGAAGAGCATAGTGGGATGGTGCACCGTCTTGTTAAAGCCATATCCTATCATTGGAAAGATTATGTTCCAACAACTCTGCTGAAGTTGGAACAACTTGTTCTCTTGGCATCACCAGGTTCCTTGCCCCGTTAGGATTTACAATGAAAAAGGTCACATGATCACAAACAATACCCGTATAAACGTTGATTTTCTGATGACGTTGGGTATGACTTTGTCGCCCCCAGTATGGGTTTTCTTCTATCAACTATGCCTTTTTACCTCGCCATTTAAAAAAATGTTGATTCATCAGAAAAAAAATATCGGCAGAAAAAATAACATTCCTGTTTAACATATCCAGCATTTGCTAGCAAAATTGCAATCTTCTATCAGAATCATCGTCAATCAATTCTTGAACGTGTTGTACATTTTTTCGGCCTTAAAACATCTTAAAACAGTCGAATGACTTACGTCGTTTTCACGTGCAACCTGACGGGTTTTTTGGGTCTTCTTAAAAAGCTAATAAATTACACTGGTCTGCAACGAAATCCTGCTTCAAAAAATTTCATCATAAATATGAAGATTTTAATTCTTTGAATTTGTTCAAGTTGGCCGATTTTTTTTATCAGGTCTAGATTTTGTGATATGAATTTTTTTTCAAAATGTAATTAATTTAGTTTTTTTAAATTCGTTGTATGCGTGAACATTATAAACAGTGTATATACATACAAAATAGGTTTTAGCGAGTCGTAAGACATATATTAAACAAAACGCGTAATGTATTTATTTATGTAAGAAACTATAATAGCTTTAGCTAAATAAACGTTTATCTATTTATTTAAGAGAAAGAAGGAAAGTACCGAAAGTAATTTTTGTGGTAGTACATATGCGCTTGCGCAGTATTCGCTGTGACTTTACAGCACTTGAAAACTTGTCTTTTAATTGCAATTGTTTACGTTCTATATCAAATATTTTGGTAAGTTTTGTACAAAGATCATATTCTATATATTTTATGTATAGTTTATGTAAAACTTAAGCCTTAGTATTTTTTCACTTTTTTGTAATTGTTAATAATATCGTTTTTTATTAAATGGACATAATATTTAAAATCTATGTGCTGTATTCATTTTCATGTTAAATTCCGTATTTAGAGCACCAAATGTATAATGTTATCATGTATGGAAACAATGAGAAGAAAAAAATATTTTTTTTGCAGACCAGTGTTATTGACTTTTACATATTCATCAATAAAATAAGGCGTAATGGTATAACGTGTCGACATCCAAATTGTGCATGTATTTTAGACACTGTTGCCTGAGAAAGTGGTGGTAAATATGGAGATTTTTTATTAAAAAGGTTTGCAATTTGCTCTTGAGATCTGCATAAATCACCGTAACCAATAATCATTAATATTTATATTCGCACAGTCTCTCTTAATGTCGCATATACACTAAAATATCAAAGTGTTACAGCACTTATTGCAATTTTATTAAGAGCACTTGTATCCAAAATAATAAGTAAAGCGTAAAATGTTTCACTAACAATAAAAATTTAAACAATGCAAAAAATATAAACAACACAATGCAAACGAGACGGCCCCAAAAATACATGTAATAATAATACACGTTAATTAAACAATAATTAAGCAAAAACATGAATAGCTAAATAGCGAAAGCCACAAGACAAAAAACTAAAGCATAGAATAACTATAACCAATTCATAGTTGTAATTTGTAAATAATCACCCTTTATTGAAAACTATGTTTACTAAATTCTATTTATGGGGTATCGTCGTACTCAGAAACATGTGCTCTATCAATTTTTGATGAAAAAAAAATGTTGGTTGTTATTTAAGAAAAATGTGCATACTGTTGTGGAAGGAAACTTCTGGGGAAAAAAATTAAAATTAGAAGATTTTAAATAAAAAACCTAAGTTTACGTGGTGAGAGTTTTTCATAAAAAATTTAGTTCATAAGTGAGAACCGCACTATTATTAAATAAATAAATAATTTATATTTTATACCGCAGGAACATCGTGGGCCAACTTTTCTTTAAATTTTTAAGTTCAATTTTAATAAAAAAGATTTTTTTAATAGCTAGGATGTTTTTTGATTAACATTTTTTCCAGTTGAGTAACAAAAATTGAAAAAATCACAGGAAGTTATTTGGTGGGATAATATATAACAATGTGTGGTTGATTTGTAATGAAATGCACGTGTACGAGTTATGTAGAATTAAAAGCGGAAGTCACATTTCTAGTGAAATTAATTTAAAATAAACTTTTAAAGTAATTCAAAACCGTATAAGAAAATCATCCATTGAACTGAATCGAGTTTTTGCAGGCTATTTCATTTTTTTTTTAAATTAATTTTGCCGGTTTTGGTTGTATACAACTTTTTATGTGTATGTTTGTTTAAAAAATAAATGAAAATTACTTTATTACTTCGTTTCAACCGAAAATCAAATATAAAAGTACAAAAAACCTCAATCGAAAACAAAATCAACATTTTAATGCGTAATTCAATTAAATTCCAATTTTTTGTTGGTTTTCAAAAAACAAAAGCAACATTTGACTACTATACTTTCTATATTTATGGGCATAATGTAAAATGGAACATTAAGTAAAATTTTTATTTTCGGCTGGTTTTTACAATTAAACGATTGTGCAAACAAAAAAATTAAATATGACAATTTTTTTGTTTTAAACTCTAAATACTTTTATTATTGATTAGTTGGTAATATTTACTTCCGGTATACACGATTTAAAATAAAAACCTAAGTAAATATCATTGTTAAATTGCTTCCTGGTAATTTAGTTTGCCTGTATTTGTTTGGAAGACAGCAAGCAATTAATACCTGGAATCGTAAACAAGCCCCTAAATTATATTTAAATCATGCCCCTTACACAAACTGCATTCTAAACTAGAACAAGCATGTTTTGGTTTGCTTGTAAACAAGATGTAATAATACCTATTTATAATCATATATAAGTATACTGATATATTCTTATGACATATTTAAAAAATCTTTGTTATTTTATCGATTTACGCCGGGAGAAATTCATTTTCTTGATCACTTTCCACGTCACGAGATTTTAAGTTACTTGTCAACAAACCTTAGCAACAATAAACTTTATGTATACAATACGCTAAAGAAGCATCGGATTTTCGCAACGCGCGCGCCACCTGGTGGCGTTCGATAGTATTGTAGGAATTCAAGAATTTTCACTAGTAATACCACTAGAGGTCAAAAAATTTTCGGATTTAATTTGACCTCGTGTGGTATTCGGTAAGAAAATTCCACACCAAATTGTGTTTAAATAATTAAAATTTATTTTTTGATTTAACTTGACCTCGACTTGATTATTTAGTTACCATGGCAACTAAGTCAATCCCAACCTAAAAGTTATTTCAATTTTGAAGCTGTCAAGCGGCACGACGTAAAAAAAATGTGAAATTGTCTGCTGTAATGATCAATCATCGTGCAATGACTTATTTACCCGCATTATTAGAGGATTGTGGCTCCTTCTTGAAGAAAGAAAATTTGTTTTGAATTGTTCACGAATATTTGCATCTTAACTATTCAAAACTCAAAGTGCTAAATGGAAAAAAAGGTGAATAGAATAGTGTCTAAATATTATATATATTTCATTAGACATAGACATTTAATTTATTTCAATTCCTGCATTTTTGCCATTAAGAAGAAAGGAGGTGTCCAACGAATATAGAAAACATCTAAACTTTGTAATGGAAATGTATCAAAATTATCATGTAAACAAATAAAAACCAGATTGTCAAAAAAATATTCTGTCATTATAAACGTCAAAAAATTTCCAGTATAATTCGCTGTTGGGTACCCACGAGGAAAAAATTTCCACTAAAATTCAACCGTTGCCATGGTGATCTATCAAAAATACACGTTTTGATTGGTTAAAAATTACAGGTGTGGAATTTTCAACAATACATTTAAAGCATACTAACTGAACATCATTTTTAAATAAATTAGTAGTATTTTCACAAAAGAGAGGAAGGCAACGTTATTTGTGTTTCGCGTTGCAAGTAAAAACTGAACAACTTTAATTTAGTACTCGATTTCGATGTATTAT